TCCTGCTGACTTCAAAAAGACTTGCTAATGCTAAAAACTTCCAAAAATAAGACCCCATACTTGTCTATGGACTTGATGCCAGTCAGTAGGCACTCATATTTAAAAGTCTTGCAAAAGATATTTCAGAGCCCACAAGGCAAAGTACTAGCTTTGCAAAAAGCTGGTTCTCAGGGAAACACTTCCCCGGGATCCTGTAAAATATGCTCTGTACTTGCTACCTAGACCCTCTCATATCTGGCCTCAGGCATTTGTTTCTGTATCTTTCTTCTCTGTATAAAAATCCCAGGTCACTTGAAGATGGGCATGAGATCTCTCCATCTGTCTCTTTTCATTTAATATCTCTGCACCGCATTATTCATTGCACTGTTTGCAGTCTAGGCCTATCTTTCTTCCATTACAAAAACACTACAAAAGTGACATTGCTGCATAAATGATTGTTTGACTTTCTTTTCTTTTCCCCAATTTACAAACTTTCAGAGTGCTATAATTCTTTTATAACAACTCATATAACTCATGTTTTCTCCTCTACATCCATCCAGTCCAAAATCTGAGTTTTGACATAAAATTTGACCTGAGTCAAGTCGTACTCTTTGTATCCAAATTAAAAATCCTCAGCAGACATGCTTCACAGTCAAATATTAATCTCTTACATTTAACTGAATTGTGATAGACTCTCCATTGCTTAGGTGCAGGTACACAATGAATGTTTCCATGCTACTTGGAGGAATTCTTTGAAACAGCACTTTGCACCATGAATTCTTCACCTGTGACTCTCACAAGTGGATCACTAAATCTATTTTTTCCTAACAGGCTTGTAGGAATTACTCACAGACAGTAGAAATTAACTTTGATCAAATCTTATTTTTGCCTATGCTTCCTAGAAAAGTAAAGCTGTATTGTAAATGCAAGTACTGCAGTTAAAAGTCTGTTCAAAGGAATCTACCATCTACCAATAAAGGCAGATAGGCAGATACTGTGAACTAGCTCTTCTTTTGGCACATGCATTACAAAAAAGATTTAGTGAAAATCTCATGCAATTAGCAATTAATCCTTGTTGTCTATGATTGCTACAAACACCAGCAAGTCCCTGAATGCAGCCTACACACTGATCAATCTCCATTTCCATCTTCAAAGCTTGTGTAATATCTAAAAGCGCAGGTTTTGCTCAGGTAATGCTCAGCAAAGAGAAGAATGAATGTCACCCCGTCCAAGCTTGTCAGTGAAAATTTTATGGGGTGATATCACTACAGTCTCTAAGTATATATGTGGAGAACAGATGTGTAATAACATAGGGCTCCATAATAGAGGTGATAAAGATAAAACATGTTCATATTTATGGAAGATGAAATGAGGGGTTCATCCAAATGAAAAAGAAGGTTCATATTTTGACACCACGGGTAATTAAACACAGTAACCATATGCAAAGATTGTCATGGCGAATCTGTCACATGACTAGGCATTTAAAATTCAAGATCAGATCTTCCATCAAATCTTAGTGTAATTTAGACAATAATTACTTCCAGGAATTCACATAGCATTGGGTATGCAGGAAGGCAGACTAGATGTTCCCAATGGCCCTTAATGTAAGACATCCCCTTTGCTTGATATTTAAAGAACTATGTTCTCGTCTCTCTCCCTCCCCTCCCTTAATAATTAGAAAATCTGCAGGTACTACCCTTCTGAAATCCATTTAATTGGCCACAGTCTGGGTGCACACACTGCAGGAGAGGTGGGAAGAAGAACCCAAGGCATCAGACGAATAACAGGTAGGCTATGCAATGAGAGGCACATCTAGGATACTATGTTTCTAAAGGAAAGAAAGTTGCAACACACTGAATTGACCCAGCTGGACCAATTCAAATGAGAGTATTTTAACCCTTTCAAGAGCACTATAGCACTTGCACCACGGCTGCAGGTTTATTCTAGCCAGTTATTTGCATTCTTCCTGGCTTTTATAATGAGAAAGCAAAATAATCTCTAATTAAAAAGCCAATGCAGTTATTCATCATGTATCTTTTCAACTGTTAGTTGAAAATACAGTGATGTAATATTGTTTTCAGTATTACTTTAGTAATACTTTAGTATTACTTTACTACTACTTTAGTAGCAGTATTACCAAAAGAACAACAGTGAGAACTTGAAAAATTACAAAGAATGTGCATGCTTCAAGCAATGGATAACCTAAGCTCCACTAATTAATTTTATTGTTCTTTTTTTCACGGTTTCCCATGGATACAGTCCAGCTGAAAAGCAGTAACTTAAGTTGCTCCTGTAATATTCTTTTTTAAATAGCATCTGTTATGCTTTGTGGGTACATGCTGGCAAAAAGATGAGCCTACAATATACAGATCCACTTCTGTTACTTTTTTCTTGTTTCTTCTCCAGATGCATTTAGTGTTAATCACTTTAGTGTACTTTATGATTTGTTATTGGCATTAATGACAGAAAGTCATGTGGTTGTAGACCATTAGGCTAAGAGGCTGGAATTAAATTATTGGCTCTGCTGCAGACACCTTGCATGAGAGCAGGCAAACGCTATGCTTCTCAAAAATAGGTGTAACGATTATATCTTCCATCTCTTGTTAGGTCAAAACTCCTTAGAGTCCTTTAACTCTGAGGATTAAAAGACTTAAGAGTCCCCTAAGGGACTCTGTTAATATGTTTGTAACATTACTACCATTCACTGGGCTACGTTAAGCACTACACAAAGACAAAGCAACATATCAAGAATCCTTAGTTTTCCTATTCATAATACTTGTCAGGCCAGTAAAGAGATCACGTAAAAAAAAATCTATCCTTAGTAGTAATACGATGCCATTTTATATTTATTGCAAAATATTTTGCTTCTGCTGGAATGAGTTTGCAGAAAGGTTCACAAAACCATATTATAGCACATTTGGTTCAGTCCAGCTTAGAATTTATATTATTATTCAACATGTCTAGTGTATTATTTATACCTGATGTTGTAAGTTGGAAAAAGACATCTACTAGTATGTTTAACTTTTCCATCCCTCCCCCAATCAATAAATGTTTTTGTTTAGGCTTGGACCCTGCTGGGCCTTTTTTTGAAGGTACTCCTCCTGAGGTGAGACTGGATCCTTCAGATGCAAGATTTGTTGATGTTATTCACAGTAATGCCGCCCACTTTCCTGCTGTAGGTAAGTGTTCATGTGTAAGGAAATATCTGCAGAAATGAGCATGTTACGGGGGGATATTAACACACTGACGTATCTCAGGGCTTGGAATGTACAACACCACTGGTCACCTTGACTTTTATCCAAACGGAGGAACTGTAATGCCTGGATGCAATGATTTAACTCCACAGATGAAACAAAGCGATTTTGAAGCTCTCATTGCAGGTAAATATACATTTTCAAAATTCAAAATATTTTCTCTTCTCTCTGTTCTGAAACATGAACTGTGAAAGCAACTATCAGTTTGAGAGATACAAACAACAAAACAAAACTATTCAGTCACAAGTTAAAAAAGGAAATATGAAACAATAAAGGCTAGTTTAGAACAGTGCTAACCAGGGAACACTGTAGAGAAAGGAGTGTTTAAAAATACAATACAAGCCTAGGCTTTGCTTCTGGAATTTGAAAGTCAAAGTGCAGAACATAAAAAGGCAGGGAACGGGGCATGCACACGTCCAACACCCCAGCAGGAAGTTTTCTAGGCTGAGAGAGAACAGTGTCATGATTGGACCTAAAGAATGACACCACTGTCCTTGGTTTCTTGCAGAGACTGCAAGGAGCGTCCAATATCCACAAGGCTTGAATTAGGCACAAGCACATAGTGTCTTCAGGGAAGTCTCCACTAGAGACTTCTCTCTCTTCACAGGGTTTGGAATCCTCAGGAGAAGGCTAGCGGATTCTCCTTGTTCTATTAAGCCTTTTTAAAATGCACTTTGCAGCCTGCTGTAACATTATTTACATATGGCTGTCTCGGTCAGCAGATAACTGACCAACACAACTCCCTTGAAATCTTCAGCAAACTGGCACACAGTTCTCTGGATAAGTCAGAACACTGACTTCTACTGCAACTAGAAATGTGTAAATTCACACAAAAAATGTATTACAAGACCCTGCTACTGTTTCACTCTGTGGCTTAGTTATTTCCATAGAGAGGGAAGCATAACTTTTGTACAAGGTAACAGGAGGTTATTTCACAGACGTTCATAAAATTTCTTCCAACAGATGCTACGGTCATCAGGGGGTGCCATCACTCACGCAGCCATGAGTTTTATTTCGAAAGTATCCTCTATCCCACTGGATTCATTGGATATCCCTGTGAAACATATAAGTCCTTCGAGTCAGTAAGTGTATCAGCTCAGGAATGGATAAACCATAAAGAAAAAAATCAAGGTCTCTGTATTCATGATAGATGATGCTACATACACAGGGCACTTGGATGCTATGGGAGCTCTGCTCTCGTGTTATCTAGCTAGCAGCAGAAGTGAGATGAAAAACCAACTCAGTCACCACGGAACCAGTGTGGGCTGCTAGGAAGAAGTATGTAGTGAGGCACAGGATATAGTGGCTCCAGCAGCTATTCCCCTCTGCTCTGGAGAATAAATCCTGAAGCATGGATGATACCACCAGAATAGGGAAAAAACTGAAGCCCAAGCAATCCTCACCTGAAATCTTTTTGCAAAGACCATATAGGTTAGCTATGTCTACCCTACTAATTCCTGGCTGTAAGAGACATCTGAAGCTTCCAAAAGCCCTAAACATTCTCTAATTTACAGTAGGGACTGATTAGAACACCTGTGAAATGCTCTAAGTTGCCTATAAGTAAATGCTTAAATGATAAATGATGCTTAAAATACACATGCTCCTTTTTTCCCCTATATTGTGTTGCAATGTGGATGCGGGTAGATTCTTTTCCACTGGAACGGTAAATTGGGCTTATATTTTGCCCCAGACTCCAGCTGAAAAATATCTGAAACAAGAAGTTTCAAACCATCATCCACACATGTATCATATCTGCTCATTCCACACTCACTTGAGTAAGATATAACAATACAAAGCACTGCCACAGCTTTGCAAGATTGGAACAGCGTCTCGAGCCTTAATTTTGTCAGAGTTAGGACGAAAAAAATTTTCCTCCTTAACTGATGCTCTTATTTTTCCTAGGGGGACTGTTTCCCATGTTCCCAGGAAGGATGTCCAATGATGGGACACTATGCTGACAGATTTCCAGCTAAACTGAAGAGAATAAACCAAAAGTATTTTTTAAATACGGCAGCAGACCCACCTTTTACTAGTAAGTGGAAGAGGTCTGTAACAGTTGGGCACATATTTGAAAAGTGATTGCTTTGACATGATTTACAGCCATGCACTTTTGTTGCTACCATAAACATCTGCTAAGATCTCTGAGGAAAAAGTGCTGAGTTAATCATCAGAATTCAAGCTCCCTAAGTCTTCCATTTGCTAATATGAACAGATTACATTTAGGAAAAAAAGAACTTTCCCATTTAATGGCATTTTTAGATCTCGTGTGTCAATGACAATCTAGTTTTACTTTCTTTTTCATATGCAGGCTGGAGACAAAGAGTCTTTATCAAACTGTCTGGTGTAAAGGGAACGAAGGGGGACATAAACCTAGTTTTCCATGACACAGAAGGAAACACAAAAGAATATCAAATTACCAAGTAAGTTAAATTAAATTAATATTTCATTATAGCATTTAATGTTGCTATCCTTAATCTACACATCTTTCACGTATTTAAGCAGTGCAAATGTTTATTCTTTGTTGCAGCCATTCTAGTTAACCTCAGACATGGAAAAAAGTTTTTGCATAGATGAGGCCTATGAGGGCTGATGGACAGTTACAGCATGGGAATGGAAGCCACTTCCTTTTCACGTGTTCTGGGACTTAAACAATGAATTAGGATTCCAGTTTGACAGAAGAGAAAGCACTGTTTCTCTGAGCTGCTCTTAAAAAAAGATTTACACCTCTAGAATGCACATAATTCTTACAGTGGGCACCAGTTTCATACACACACTAGCCCAGCTGCTCCCACACTGGCATAATATCAAACTTGTTAGCGTATTCACTCCACATGCTGACAAGACTCTGTGCTCTGCAGGTGACTTACTGTATGATCTCATGCAAGGCAATCTTGTGCCTGAATTTACCAAATTCGCAAAGCAGATATGTCTATGATATCTTTCCTATGCTACACTAAAAGCCATCAATCCTATATAAATGGCACATATAGGTCTGGCCAATGGATGTCATTCACAGCTTATCGTATCATCTCTTGTTTACTATCAAAATAGCAACTCCCACTGTCTTTTTTACCTACTCTGAAATAAGCATTTCCATGTATCTCCCATGATCATCTTTGTGTATGTGCAGGCCAAAAACCCACAGAAGTTCACAGCTCTTCTCTACAGTCTTCCCTGAAAAGCTTACCTGAAGTTCTCATGCCGTGATAAAAACTCAACAGCCTCAGGCTGCTGAGGAGCTCAGAACCCCGATGACAGACCTGTTACCCTTACTGTTTCCTGGTGTTCTCCTACCACATATAAATTAAAAATTTTCTGCGTTTCTTTTCACCCTCTCCTATTAGAGAATAACATACCGGAGTCCTGGTTCCATGCCCTATGCTACTTCAAATAATAGCAAAAGTACAAATTTCTGTTGTAACTAAAGGAACAACCCAAGCGTTCTGGAGAACGTGACTTAGCTCAGTAACCTCTAAACTATTAAATTAGCGTTGCTGTTTTCATTCTATTTGCAGTGGAAACCTTTCTCAAGACCAAATTTATACAAAATACCTTGATGTTGAAATTAATCCTAAACTTATTAAAAAAGTAGAATTTCTCTGGATTAAAACTCCATTAACCCTGCTTTGGGCAAGACTGGGTGCAGACACAGTCAATATAATTCATGGAGAAGATGGACATAGGTAAGTATACACCTTTTACAGATAACATCAGCATCAGAAGGAGTGGGAAAGGAGCGCAGCAACTCTGAAAGACATGATCGAAAAACAGTCTTGTTAAACTGGGCACATGGTTTAGAATCAACAACGAATGAAATGTAACTCAGTAATGACAATGACAAAGTATTACACTTTGGACAGAAAATCAGATGTTCAAATATAAAACAAGGAATAACTGCCTGGAAAGGAATATAGCAGAAGATGATTTGGGCAACATATGGTGCTACAACAAAATAAATATAAACCAACACTACAGTGCTATCCAAGATAAAGCAAATCTCATGCTCAGGTGTACCACCAGGAGCATTGTACAGAAGATCCAGGGAGTAACTATTCTAACTAATTAACTGTGGTGAGACTGTAACCAGGAGGAGGGCCATTTTCAGGTTTGTACAATATGCTTCAGGAAAGATGTACACACACTGAATTCCAGAAAACTAACAAGAGTGAAAGATTTAGAAAGCATGACGTATGTGGATCAGCTGAAGGAAATGTCTGTTTAGTCAAGTAAGAGAGGCATAAAAACAGTCTTTATTGATGTATAAGCTAGCTGTCGTGGGCCACAGACAACCGTTCCACATGTCCACTGAGTTTAGGTCAAGAATTAATTGAAGTATTTTACAACAGATGAGATATAGCTTAGATATTAGGGAAAATTTTCTTATAATAGATATTGGCATGGGTTATTTAGAAAAGCTGATGAAATCCCCTTCACTGTGAACTCCTAAAGAAAGCTGCAAAGCTTTGCTTACGATAGTCTAGTTAAACATCTGGTCTCAATAAAGGGAGCTTAACAAGATGGTCACCTGATGGGTTATCTAGAGCTCTGTTACTGCGAATCTACAGCTGAATTTTATTCATGTACCAAGAACCAAAATTTACAGCTTGTCCCCAAAAGAAGGAAGTTCACATTGTTACTGCTACTAGGCAAATTGCAATATGCACTACACTAGGTTTTTAGGAAGGCTTAAATAGGATTATGGATTAAAGTGACCACCTTCAGGGTAACAGCTGACACTTTTTCTTTTTTCTTTGTTTTTGTTTGGGAAAAAAAAAATAATATTGATTCAAGTTGTTTTCCTTCCCAGATCAACTTTTTGTGGCCAAGGAACTGTGACATATGGCGTCCCCCAGTTACTTACACCTTGCTAGAAGTCATGAGGTACAACTGTTCTCTAAATCGCAGCTGGTTAAACAAGCAGTCCTCTGTACGGGAATGTTTGCACATGTGGCTATTAAAGGAAAACTCATTCTTAACCTGGCTGTAGCTTCCTTTGTTTTTTTAGTTCTGTTTCCAACACATTTGACATTGTTTTTTATATGTGAAGTAACTGTTTCAAGTTTATCACACTCATAATGATGGAAGCAACTCTATTCCCTTCTGTAAAACAGGCCTTCAGTTCCTCTGATTATTTTAGTAGCCTACTTCTATACCTTCTTCCAGTTGCAATTCATATTTTTTGCCTTGGCTAACAAGAATGGTACATAAAAACAAACAATTTTCTATTTCTGTCTCTCACTGACAAAATGTGAACCCTGAAGATGGTAACAGCAGGAGCTACTTGGCTTATGCTTAAGAACCTCATAATACTCAAACACTGTTTCCCTTTTCTGGAACTCACAGTGCTTCATTACTTAAATCCTAGTCTTGCAAATACTAATGAGCATGTCTATCTCTTTATATACCCAAACTTTTTCTAAAACGCATGCAAGTAGTCCTCCTCTCTGCTTACCCCACTCTCCAGCCATCCACATATCTAGACTTCCACATGTGAAGAACACACTTGCAGAGAGAAGAATATTCTGAGAGGAATATAGGGACATTGTTGGAGCATGCAGGGATGGGGCTAGGAAAGCCAAAACCCATTTGGAGTTTAATCTGATGAGGAATGTCAAAGACAAGAAAGGCTTCTGTAAGTACATCAGTAGCAAAAGGAAGACTAGGGAAAATATGGGCACACTGCTGAATGGGGTGACGGCCCTGATGACAAAGGAGATAGAAAAGGCTGAGGTACTGAACGTTTCTTTGACTCAGTCTTTCCTGGTGAGACTGGCTTTCAGAAATCCCTAGCCCTGGAGACCAAGGGGAAAGTTTGGAGAAAGGAAAACTTTCCCTTGGTGGAGGAGGATCAGAATAGGCATCACTTAAGCACACTGGACATACACAAGGCCAAGGGCCCTGATGGGATGCACCCACGAGCGCTGAGGGAGCTGGCTGATGTCATTACAAGGCCACTCCCTATCATCTTTGAAAAGTCATGGTAATTAGGAGAGATGCCTGAGGACTGGAAGAAAGTAGATGTCACTCCAGTCTTCAAAAATGCCAAGAAAGGGAACTACAGGCCAGTCAGCCTCACCTCAGTCTCTGGGAAGGTGATGGAGCAACTAATCCTGGATACCATTTCCAGGCACTTGAAGGACAAGAAGGTGACTGGAGGTAGTCAGCATGGATTCACAAAGGGGAAAATCATGCTTAATCAACCTTATAGCCGTCTACAATGAAATGAAATGACTGGCTTAGTAGATGAGGGAAGAAGGGGAGAGCAGTGGATGTTGTCTACCTTGACTTCAGTAAAGATTTCAACACTGTCTCCCATAACACCCTCAGAGGCAAACTGATGAAGTACAGGCTAGATGAGCAGACAGCAAGGGAGACTGAAAACTGGCTGAACAGCCAAGCTCAGAGGGTTGTGATCAGTGGCACAGAGTCTAGCTGGAGGCCAGGAAATAGTGATGTACCCCAGGGCTCAATACTGGGTCCAATACTGTCCAGTTTATTCATTAATGACCTGAATGATGGGGCAGAGCATAACCTCAGCAAGTTTGCTGATGATACAAAATGAGGAGGAGTGGCTGACACCCCAGAGGGCTGTGTTGCCATTCAGTCAGATCTCAACAGGCTAGAGAAACACGCAGACAGGAACCTCATGAACTTCAATAAAGTGACGTGCAGAGTCCTACACCTGGGGAATAATAACCCTGTGCACCAGTACATTCAGAGGAGCAATCTGCTGGAGAGTAGCTTTGCGGAGAAGGACCTGGGGGTTTCGGTGGACACGAACTTAACCATGAGCCAGCAATGTGCCCTTGTGGCCAAGAAGGTCAATGGGATCCTGGGCTGCATTAGGAAGGGTGCTGCCAGCAGGTGGAGGGAGGTGATCCTTCCCCTCTACTCAGCCCTGGTGAGGCCACATCTGGAGTGCTGTGTCCAGTGCTAGGCTTCCCAGTAAAAGAGAGATATGGAGCTATTGGAGCAAGTCCTGCAAAGGAGATTGGATGAAGAGACTGGAGCATCTCTCATATGATGAAAGGCTGAGAGAGCTGGGACTGTTCCGCCTGGAGAAGAGAAGACCGAGGGGGGGATCTTATGAATACACATAAATATCTGAGGGAGGGTTTAAAGAAGACAGAACTAAACTGCTTTCAGTAGTGTCCAGTAACAGGACGAGAGGCAGTGGGCACAAACTGAAACACAGGACGTTCGGTCTGAATATGAGAAAATACTGTTTTACTGTGAGGGTGACAGAGCATTGGAACAGGTTGCCCAGAGAGGTTGTGGAGCCCCCATCCTTGAAGATATTCAAACACCATTAGCAGTCCTGGGCAACCTGGTCTAGGTGACCCTACTTGAGCAGGTGGATCAGTCTAGATGATCTCCAAGGTCCCTTCCAATTTCAACTATTCTGTTACTCTGTGAAGTGTAGTATCCATCCCTCATATTTCACTGTTTCATGGGTTAATGTATGTAAATCACAGATCACATAGTTCAACCTCCTGAATGTGCATATATATGCATGTGTGTATATAAATATACACACACACACACACACATATACACACACACACACATTTATATATGTAGAGAGAGAGAAAATATGCAATTTAATTCAGATATTTCTATATCTAGCACAGTAGATAACGGTTTGACCAAATCATTTCCTCCAGGAAAGTACTCAGCCCCAGGAAAGGGTGTTAAAAATGGTTTTCTAAAAAGACTTTGAATAACTCCAGGCTTTACAAATACTAGGATTGACTATTTGACATTAAAATGAACACTACTGCTCTGCAAAGCATGACGTATGTGAGTCACTTCAAGCTCTGGGAGACTGAGGCAGTGGATATTCTTCCAAGTGTAACAAATTCTAAATTAATGAACAGGAAGAAAACAGAAAATGAGTTAATCTTTTGTTTTTTCCCATTTCCCTATGTCTGAGAAATAATGAACAAGCATTGAGGTATATAAATTAAATTTCAGTGGATATCAATAGAAATACAGTATTAAAAATGTATTTCTAATGAGTATAAATGTTTGAATAAAATGATTAACAAAAAGAACAAAAGTTAAAAAAAACAACCAGTACAGTATTCTTGTATATTGTATAGTAAACTGTGCCAAGTTTACTATAAACAAAGGCTATACAAAATTAAAAATGTAATTAAACACTAGTCTGGGGTTTATTCAAGAGAGATCTGCAGTCATGAGTACTGCAAGTCACTTGGAGATTTTACAGGTGGTAAAGGAAGTGTTAACAATGCCGGGAAGCACTACGCCATGTTCCAGAAGAAAGCTATGGCCTTCCTGTAGCATGTAAAATCCATTGCTCTCATCTATCTATTTCAGGCCTTTTTCTATAACAGCTCCTTTAAGACTAATTATGATAAAACCTAACTCAAATCTTTTTCATCAGCTCAAAAAGTGCATGGGAAAGGCTGTTCCTTCCTCAGTTTGAAGAAGTGTTTAATAAAACTCATCATTGTACTAGGACATCTGCAGATTCTCCTGTACCATTGCTATGGACTTATTTTCAAAATGTAGTGCTACTTCAACTGAGGATGGGATAACCTAGCTTGAAAGCAAGGTTTTTAAAAAAAATAAGTATCTTTACTACTGTTTAAAAATACTATTAATGATAGCAGTGAGATACATATGCGCACAGCTGATATCCATCTGGTCTTTCACACAGGTGGAGATTAGGAAATATCAGGTATGCGGCCATAGCCAAAAAGCATGGCTAGGTTGATAAAGCTTTTCAGATGAGGAATTAACTGAGGTCAGTTTTCTTCTTGAGTTCACTTATGCCCTTTTCCTAGGAATAAATAAGACTAAGGGGTTCCTAGACCTAGTCCATTTGCACAGAACTGTATTTGATCTTTTAGCTGATGTCTTTTACAAAATTACCTACTGAGTTCTGCAGTCCTGTTACAAAGCTTCACACTGCAAAGCAGCCATTTCTCAATGGCTGGGGGAATTTTGTATGTTCTTGCTGTGTATTTCCAGCATGTTTGCTCTCAGTTTATCACTCAGGATTTTCTCAGGACGAGGATCTTCCCAAGACTTGGGTTATATGGGGAATATAGGAAGAGTTCAAAGAGATAGATAACTGTCCTTCTTTATCCCAGTATTTCAATGAGGAAATGAAAGGGATACCAGGAGATCAGCCTCTTTCACTGTGAAAAAAGCTACCAGTCCCACAAAGAAGTTTTCCTAAATGTAGGAGGCTTCTCTGAACTGAGCTGACATCGGGAAATGGCCACCAAGGACCCAGAAGCATAGGACCATTCCACATCTAAATTCACTTTACGGAGGGCAGGGAAGGGGACTTAAAGCCTATGTGGTCCCCCAGTAAATCCCCTAGTTGACCCCTATATTGCAACCATACAACAATGTCTCAAAAAAATAAGCCATCCCAACTAAAACAATCCCCTAAATGCACTGCCACTCAGACCCACGTAATCCTTTCTAATTCTTTCTAATGTCCCACCAATGACGTGTTGCTTCTTGGGAATGTGCTAACTCAAATTACCCTACTTTTAGATCTCCAATCTTATTCTGGAGTCCGGCACATCAGCTGAAGAAATCTATGTCTATGCATTCTTGAGCTGTTACAGCAATCACCAGTTAAAGAGGTTCTCCAAATTAACCATAAACTATAATCTGAAATAAACAAATTTTCATATCTTTCTGGGAATGTTTCCAAGGATAAAGCATATTATAAAAGTGCGTGTAAAGTGTGTTAGTTAGTGGATGGAGCTTCAAGGCTGCACTGTAAGTAGTTGGGTTCATTTTTTTATTACCTTGTCAGGTAAATGCCTTCCTGAGATACAGCAGTTCAAAGGCAGGGCTGTCACTCATTGATGTCTTTATGTTAAAG